TCGCATGCACCCATCGTTTTTCCGGAATCACTGCTGCACGATACTCCGTGCGAGCCAGCTTGCATTCCGGTGTCCACCAAGGTGCACATTTGCCGTGTCTTTTGTTCCTTCGTGTTCCTGCTGCTTTGAAAGCGTTAGTAAGGCCGAAACAGAGATCGTTGGCGTATTTATCCACCTGGCAAACCGTGTCCAAGACTGGTGGCGGGTGAGTGAACTGCGTGACGGCAAGGGCGGATCTCGGCAGGTTGCCGCGCGTTACCCTGATCGGCGATGGCTCCTGGTCCCTTTTTCCGAATCCGGTGGGAACTTGTCCTCGAATTGGAAGATGGTCGCTGGTGATGCACCCGCGATCCACCCATGCTTGGGCCCCGTTGACATTGGTCCAAGCAAGATCCAGCGTGTTTCCGGCCCGATGCGTTGGCTCGCCCACAATCAGACAAGTGAGATTATGGTGTTCCGCCCATCTCTCAATTTCGATTCCTTGCCACGTGGGCGGGTGACCTCTGGTTGCCACGCGCAGTGCACCGCGTTGAAGTTACCAGCCGCGACGGATCGGGGTGGTGGGTCCCAGCTGAGGAGGGGTTGGATTGCTGTCGGGTCGTTTGGGTCTTTGTACACGTTGAGAAACGTGACTCCGTTTACCACAACCCAGCAGTAGTCCGCCGTTGGGGGATTGCAGGGAAAAATTTGAGTTGCCGAAAGGTTTCTCCTGTTTATTAGTGTGTAAGTCACCGCCCTGGGTCGAATATTTACGCCGCCATGTGGTGTATGGCAGTCGTATCCAGGGTGTTATTGAAAGGCTGAGGGCGATGGATAGGGAGACGTCACCTTGTGAATAGAATACTGATAGGTATGGGAGAATTCAATAGATCACTTGGACAGAGTAAGATGATTGATTGATGGTGAATTGTATTTGTGGATGATTGATGTATAGATACTGAGAGTAAAAAGGCCCTATCTATATACAGGAGTTCCTACCCTTATTCCTCTACATGGTATTGTCTATGATAGCTAGAGTAACTACAATGGTGTCCTCATTGTAATGAACACGTTGATGTTAGTGTGTAGGGACCAGGAGGCAAGAGTGATCAGACTCTAAGGGGTTAACTTTGCTGGTGCATAGTTATCCCCTGAAGGTGTGTGCAGTTATGAACTCAGATTTTTACAACAGGTGTGACTTCGTTTCCTTTGTGGCTTTGTTCCACAAAGGCTCTTGTATTAGCACCACATCTACGCCTAGCTCGTAAGCTCGGGAAAGCGCGATGTCGTGTGATTGGCCTCCCCTACCTACGTTGATCGACATAAAACTTATCGTAGGTGAGAGGCTAGAAGGGACCCGTGAGGAGCCCTTCAGGAAGACTCAACAGGATTCGTCGTTCCTATGGGCGTGGCGTCGGGGGCGACGTCGGTCATCAGAACTTCGAAACTGTTGTTCAATTTCACCGCTGTTGGTGAGTCTTGCGTTTGCCTAGCAGCCGCTAGAACTGCTGCCTCTGCGCGACGGGCTACAGCTTTAGCCCTCACAACAGCCGCTAGCTCGCGTTGGCTCGCGATGCGAATATTGGCCAGTTGCTCTCTGCTTACCGGCCCGGACTTGGTTGGGCGCGCCAGACAGACTCGACTGTCGCACCTGTGCGGTCCTCCGCAGTTGCGGCACTTGGTGTGTGCACGGCACTCGTCTGTCGAGTGCATCGTTGAGGAGCAGTTCCAGCAAGCTCGGGCGCGAGAGCAACCGCGTGTCCCGTGGAACTGCAGGCAGCGTTTGCATTGCTGCGCAGTCTGTCGCGGTTTGTGTGGGATCGCGACGCCCGAGTCGTCGAATAGGCGGAACCCTTGTCTTGGTGCCGCTCCCTTCTTGAAATGAGCCAGCCATGATTTGTATGGCGCGTCCAGCCAGGTCTTCCCGTGGGGCCGTACCTTGGCTGGAATGGCCTTTGTAACTCTCGAGATCTCCTCGATCATCATCTCTTCTGTCACTTGTACCCTTCCAAGAAGAGTGTGGATGGCGACGGGGACCGTCGAGATCTGGAGCGCCACAAGGTCGGAGGCCTCCTTTAGTCTTCCCCCGATGGGGAGGAAAGTTTCCGCCGCGTCCAATAGGAGCTGGCGAGATTCCTGATCCTTCGCTCGGAATGCGAAACCTATTGGGACACGGTATACGTGTTCAATTGCTGCTTGGGTCGCGTTGGTGAGCTGTGCCACGGCTTCTCTGATGCCAGTTGGTGAAAGATTTCGCCACTGGTGTTTAGAATTTAGCCGGAGGAACAGTCGGTTGTCCGGCGTGGACGAAGGGGGCGTCTTGGCCGATTTCTTGGTCGGCGGAGTCGGCATTTTCGGGGCATGACTTGTCATCACTGGCGTTGGCTGTTTTGGTAGCCCTTTCCGGGCTACAGTTGCCCAGGTTGAAGTGACCTGGGGCACCGCGACGGCAGGATTTGCTGTCCTGGTAGTCGATGGTGGTAAGGGCCCGCTATTGCTGGCCTGCTGGCCGATGGGGCGGGGGGGAAGACTTGTCGGCACTGGTGTGGTTCCAGTGCGCAGGAAGTGGGCGAGGGCGCCCCTCAGACACACGTTCATCGCGTCCAAGTATTCTTTGTTATCTGTCGTTTTCATGGACAGGATACCACTTTCCAATGTTTTTAACACCGTTGACCCTATCTCGAGCCTGGCTGAGGTGTTTGCAGCCCGCTTTCTTTCGGCTTCGAGTAAAGCCTCTATTTCCGGCGGGTGAATTGGCGTGGTGCCGGTGGGAGCACCACCAGAAGAGTGGTTGTGGCACTCAGCCGTCCCTGGAATCGAGGCCGGGGGTGGCTGAGGTCTTGAGGCATTTGATGCCACTGCGTAGTTCGGGACTTCCGTTTCCCTCGGTGTATTTTTCTTTGGTGTCCGCTTTGCTAACGGAACCGCAATTTTTCGAGCCGCAACGTGTGCGGGCTTGGTTATTGTCGACGGGACTGCTTCCTCGGCGACAATTACTGGGGCAGTTGATGCCTTGTTGGTTATTATCTCGGCACCTTTTGAGGGCCTGACTTCTACCAGTCGCGGTAGCGCTGGAACCGTAGCGCGCTTTTCGGGTGCGGCGACGGTTTTATTGTAGGTATCTGCGGGATTTGGAGATAGTTCCGCATCTTTTTGGCTGGAGGAAGCCCAAATTGAGTCTGAGAGAGTTTTTAGCTTCTCGACTTCAGCATCCACCATCTCTACCTCCGGTACATAGTTATCCTTTGCTTGGAGGGCGGCTGCGATGGCGTTCATGTTTTTATCGCTAATCTCGAGTCCTCTGCTCGTTAGCTTATTTTTCGCGTGATCTCGAATTGCGCCGTTCCATTCATATGGTTTGTTGACGCGATCTTTGGTGATGCCACTGATCGCGTTTTGGTGCGTTTTACGCGTCGGAGGCATTTTAAAATGCCACAGATGGCAAACAATTACAATTCGATGAGTAAATAATAGATGAGATGGATAATAGGGTGGGAATGGGCAACTTGGAATTTCTCGAATTATTTTTTTTTATTTTTTTTTACTTTTGGTCCTAAGCTAACGCTATCTTTTCCACGTTGGGTCAAGGACCGGTGGAGCCGGCAAGGATCACTGCGTACAGGCCCAACTCATTCCAACCGCATGAACTTCTACTGAAATTGTAGAAGTTAACAGCTAAACTAAAATCAAAAACATAAATCAAAAACTGAAATCAAATTTGGAAGAAATACTATTTGGTCCGGATCCCGCGCTTCTCGCCCGTTCCCTTTCCTGCCACATCTTCCAGGTGACTTTTTCTTATCTCCGCTGAGAGCGAAAGACTAGTTCGCAGATACCCTGAATTCAGCTGGTATCCTGCTATATATATTGAAGCTTTTTGTAGACTTCACCGAGGGTTGCTGTACCCTCAAACTTCTTCTTCGGATTCCAGGATTCCGAAACCCGATCCCTCGGCCATCGAGACATCCTTCGTTGAGGCCATCGTTGCCTCTAACAATATTACTTTGGACGGTTTGATTTCAATTAAATGTGTAAGCAGACTTATGCTTGCATAAGTCTGGATCCAGTCCAAAAGCGAAAGCACGATCTGCGTGCAGGGATGTCAGACTAGTAGTGATGATCAGGGGCGTTATTAGGGTAGAACTAGATATTATAGTGCTACGATGGACTCGTAGCACGGAGACAATTAATCAATTCATTTTTGTATTCGCTTTCATCTTTTGACGATTCACATGACACTCACACGAAGACCTCTCTAAGTTTTACAAAATGTGATAATTTACAATTGGGTCGATATGGAGCTAGTATAACTTTCGTCTAACCCCCAGCAAAGCCTTGCTATTATCTAGTCGCAAAGCTACCCACTGAATATTCTAGAGATAGACTGGAGATATGATGACATTCTACACTAGTATATTAAACATAGAATATTATGGGCCTTGCTACAATTGTGATTCATACATTGTATTTTCGGCACATACATAACAATCATATAAAATACCTTATCCAGCCCTTGAATGTGAACATGTATCCTTTCCTATCCGTACTCTGTCATTGCGAATCCCGATACTTGGAGATTTCAGAGAATGCCCGCACGAGAAATTCAGTCACTCAATCATAGCTTTAGAAATTTGAAGTTCATTACAAGATTATCAAAGGAAGTCGATCGACCATTATTAAGTGTCGATTATATCCCGTCCTTTCACTTAAATAGAACGAGTCCGCCAAGAATTGTGAAAATTTCTGGATGGAATGGGAAATATTCAGCTCAAACATCCTCCTTGTATTGCGACGCTAAAATATACGTATAAAAAAAGAACAATTTATTGTGATCGTAGAATCGTAGGTGGATTTAGTCTATAGTCGAATATCGAGGTATCATGGAAATAGAAAGGAACTTTTAAGACACGATTTAGAATAGGACCCGCCGCAGATGCAAGATCAACCTGCAAATTATGCACAGAATTTGGATGCTTTTTTAGCACGTTTCAGTTTTTTGACAGAAGCTTAGTGAGGTTATTTTATTTGTCAGGCTTTTCAACTGATGCGGTGGCTATTTTGGATAAAGCGGGAGAGACAGACGTGGAAGGTGGAGAAGCCGGATTCTCTGCCTCGCCGGAACCTAATGCTGCAAGTGGGCTATATAAAATTAGCTATATTGATTTTTGGAGAGAACAATTCTGCACATACCTAAATGTATTGATAGATGTAGCTGATTCTTTTTCCTTTTGCTGAGGGGGGGTTCCAGTTCGAGAAGATGCTCCAGACTCTTCCGCTCTGGCGAATGAAGCACCTGCACCCATTTTCCGCGCGCTATTACTCCTCGATGAAAATAGCGATGTTGGTCCAAAGGATAGCTGCTGGCTCGATGCCCGTAGGTTTGTGTTTTTACTAGTAAGACGACGAAGATCATCCATTCCCACAAGATTTTTCTGATAATCTGGAGGCGGCTGGTTGTGATTATTTGAGAAATTTCTCGAGTCGCCTCGTCCCATTTGCATTCGACTTCCTCCTCCTCCACCTCCACCTCGCTGATTCCCTCGAGCCGACTCGGCAGCCTTTTGAGCCGCATCTTCTTCTGCCTGGTGAAGTTTGTTAGTACTCATTCTCTCGTTTGCCATTAGGCTTTCCCAACATACCTCAGCTCTAACTTCTTCCAAAGTTTTGGGACCCTTGTTCGATTCCTTTGAGGCCCATCTATTTTTTCTCAGATCCATGATATCCATTAACATGAACCGAAGACGGCTGGGTAAGTCTGGGGTTTCAACCATAGCCTTAATGCGTTGGAAATAGGCATCCATCACTTGCTTACCCTTTTCAGTGCTATCAAGGTTAGAACCGATAGTCTTTAGCAGCTTCGTCAAGGATTCAATTTCGGCCTCATCAGGTATACCGGTGTAGTCAACTAATTTCTTGACACACTCGTGCATGATACGTTCAGTTAACATACTCAGCTTATAGAGTTCGCCTATAAACTGCACGAGACCAAGACCACGTCGTTTCGCTGCAGCTGCGATGTAATATTCATCTGACAGCATGATTGCTTCTTCTGTTTTTTCCTGTCCTTGCTCACCCTCAGGCTTTTCGGGAAGAACCACTTTCCAACCACGCTCAAATTCTTCTTGGCACCTGTTCAACAAATACTTACGGAAGAGATTTCCTCCAAATACCACGTTGCCATTTTTGTCCAAGATAGTCTCATCCTTGATGTCTGAGCTCATAGTTTCTAACATACGTTTACAAAACTTTGCGTACATAGATGCCCAATGCGCCTCATCAGTGGCCTTCTCGAAGGTGAGCTGGATGACTTGACGAAGTGTTCGGCCATCAACCTCATATTTGGACTGTGCTGCAATAGTAAGAATCTGATCAGCGATCTTGTCAAACTTCTCAGGTGTCATTTTATTCAAGGCGGCCTTAACTTTCCGTTGAACCATTTCAGGGTCCATGAGTCCGGCGTGACTACTAGATCCTGGAGTTGGGCCCGTGGCACCAGTTATCGTTTGTGGATTACCAATACTTCGCGGCTTCCAACCACTAGAACTGATTTGTATAGGCTTAACGTCCATACCTGCAGTTAAGGGCATTGTCTTGGCAGCTTGGGCTTCCTGTTTTACATTTGTTGGATTGTAACCTTTGCTGCTAGTGTTCCCACGCCTGCTCTGCTGTCTTGGAGAGTGTGGCATTCCAGAGTTCGATGGATTGCGGGCCATAGTGTTTCCGGCAGGGAATCCAGCACCACGAGGGCGATTAAATGATGACATGGCATTCATTTGAGGTCGAGATATAGAGCTACTAGATATTGCGTATCTTTGCTCTGATGTCGTCCCAGGAGGTAGAGACTTGCCAGTATTTATGAACGAACCCATCGCAGCATGAGAGCTTGGAGTGCTGTTGCGGTTTGAGCCTGACCTAGTTTGCATTCCATCAGAAGCTCTGAATGATCCAGATCTGTTGGCTCCTGAGTCAGCATCGCCTATGAGAGCTTTTATTTGGGATTCAAATTCAAGCGATGGTTTTTCTATGAAGACTTTCTGGAATTGAAGCAAAAATTCCTTGTCATATTTGAAGCTTTTGCCTTTGTCTTTGACCGCCTGGTTGAGTGCGGGATTAGGCGAGTTTATCGATGGAGGATAAATGAGAGGGTCAAGGACAGTTAAAAACCTAGCAGACTTAAGGGACTTGAGAGCCGCACTGGGCTGTGGGGGTTCAACAGGTTTTCCGCTTAACGGGGTAAGATTAAGGGCCGTCGGCTTATTTCCACGTTTGTCCGTTGAATTGACTTTGGGTGGAGGGCCCATAGATTCGGCCGCAACGGTCGATGAGATATTACTTCCAACAGAAATAATAGGGTTCACATCCTTTATCAAAGGAGCGCTTTCGGTGAGAGGATGGGGTGCCTCCATATTTGAATCAGATTTTAAAAGCTCTACAACTGATACTGGCTTGTTTGCTCCAGTTACTTTAGATGCTGATTCAAGTCGCTTCTTTTCTCTTTCATCTTCGAGACGTTCCATCTCGCGTTCTTGCTCTCTGAGTAGTAAATCGCTACGTTTTCTGGCTTCTTCATCCGTACCATTTTTCTGGTTAGCTTCGGCAAGCGCTTTTTTTTCAGCCTCTCTCTTTTGAAGGTGCTCTGCCTCTTTCTTTTCCCGCTCGGCTTCGGCAGCTTCCATTTCAGCTATTTGCCTTTCGAGTTCATCTTCCTCATCTTGCTTAGCCTTATCCATCAACGCTTTGCTCTCATCATCGGTAAGAGGTTTGATATTTTCTTGAACTTCATCAATCGAATTTTTGGAGACGCTGTCTTTTCCTGCATTAGATTGACTTGTTACTTGTATTTCATCTTTTTTCGGGCTAGGTAAACTGTCTTCCGTCGCAACCTTTTTGACTTTTTCGATTATCTCTTGTTTAATCTGATCGGATGACTTCGGGGCCGCGTTTTCAACGATGGCACTCTGATGAGTTGCGAGAGTCGGGGTTGTTGCAGCAGATGTCGTGATGGTAGAAGTGATAACAGGGGGAGTCCTTGCTCTGGTTCCCATTGCTGGAGATATGGGGGTCTTAAAGCTTTCAATATCCAGAGCTTCTCCGTCAGGACGCTTTATGATTATAGCCGCACTTTTTCTCACTGGCCGAGTAAAAGAGGCAGCTGGTTTAGGAATTGACTTTGTTTGAGGGGTTAGGGGATGAGATACCGGGGGTATTGAGGGTGTCTGTGGCTGACCCATACTTGATGCTGGCCGCTGTTCTGACATTTGAGAAGAGTTGCGCGACATTTGTTGAGCCTGTGGAGCATATTGACCAGGAGTGTAGTGAGGTTGCTGATATCCTGGTTGAGGAGACTGGGGTGGACCTGGCATGTATGTCATGTTCTGTATTTGGGGATAAAGATAGGCAGGATTTTGAAGTGGAATGCCTCTTGGGTCATACTGGTGAGGGTAATTAAACTAATTTAATGTTAGAATAAAATTGGAACTGGGACATATTCCTCAATAAAAATCTATTGGGATAGTTTGTTTATGTCATTACTTTAGATAATTCATGCAGGGAACATGTAAATTTTGTCTAAGCACTAGCTCAGATATCTGGATATTTGTCTTGAGAGGCAGCTATGATTCAGATGTTTGACACCCTATGTGATAGATTGATGATAAGTATAGCTCAGTTAGGTCAGACTAATGAGAAGTATATCCGGGTTCGAGACGTGAGACGAATACTTCAAGACAGCAAAAATCATGTATACATCTTTTCATTGTGAAAAATGGGAGATTTTTCTTGGATTGAATTGAGCTGCTGCACTTGCGCATTTTTTTCATTTGCTTGAGAATAATGATTAATTTTAATAAAAGAGGGTGATATACTTGAGGGCCAGCTAGATGCTGGGGAAAGTAAGGTCCTGGATATTGTTGCTGGTTTTGCATAGGCATGGCTGGATTCATATTTGGTGTGCCAGGGATAGAAGCGTTAGCAAGAGCAGGACTACGAGAAGCCTGGTGTGGAGAGCTGTGAAATTGCGGTCTGCCTTGGCCTTGAAAAGGCGGGATTCCACCTCGGCCTTGTCCTGGAGAATTTCGGAAAGAGTTATTGGGCGGAGGATAACCACTCATCTGATGTTGCTGATACTGGGCCTGAAAACTACCTCGTCCTCGACCATTTGGTGGATACGCTGGTCGTCCTTGTTGGTTGCTAAGATCGGATTGCACAGACTGTGATGAATCACGACGATTATGGCAAGGTTGTTGGGTACCAGGTGCCAGAGGCAATTGAGGCCTTGACGCTTGGTGTATATATCGCTGTTTGAGCGAGTTGTGTTAAACGCTGCTAATATGTGGGAGACAGGTCTGTTACTTACATCACTGTCGCCACCAAAACTACCAAAATTCACTCCGTTTCCTGGTCCAACTACAGGAGGACGGCCCCCGCTGGCTGAAGGTTGAGGAATAGGGCTAGGAGAATGAGATGGTTCGGAAGCTCGTGGGTTAGGAATGGTTATAGATGCAGAAGCTGCAGGCTGAAAAACTTGAGGCGTACTGTGTGACGGTGCTGGAGAGTCAGTTATTGATCCAAACTGAATCTTGCCACTTGCACTGCTGACAGAGCCACCGTTCATAGTTTTTGGACCATTTGCTCTAATAGTGACAGAGGACTGTCGGTCATGGATAGAACTAACGACTGAACTACTGTATGCTATAGCTGGCGCAGATACTGCCGGTACAGCGGGAGAAATCGAGGGCTTGCCATTTGCAGGCAAAATCGCACCTGATTTTCCATGATTGAGCTGTACCGGCCCAGAATGTCCTACAGCCACGTTGGGGGTGTGAGGGGAAGAACCCGTCGCAGCAGATGGCGACGAGACTGCCTTCTTTGCAGCGGAAGAGTAGGATGGAGATGAGGTCGATACGCTAGTGACCTGAAGGGGAATTTGTGCTTGTTGAGAGATAGAAGTCATAGGGCGAACTTCTCTCGAGCGTGTTGCGTTATTAGGGAACTTTGTATGACGTATCGCAACAAGCTAGGCAAGGACTCCGCAGACGAGGTCGATTAGGTATTAGGCCCGAAGACTAGTTGGGGCAAGTTTAATCGAGATATATTAATCGCTGGTTAGTGGATTGACCTTGAGTTGTCGAAATTAATCGTACTCGTGTGAGAAATTTAGAAATAAAAATGTCTATGATAGAAAAGTTCTTGACGTGCTCGTGTATTGATAGAAGGAGCGTCGTCAGCAGGACGTATTTCGAGGTTGCAAGTCTGAGATTTTAATTCGGAAAGGTAATGGATTACTGCTCCTGCCGCAATCAATCTTCTACAAATGAGAAGCTGGCGCCGGAATAGTTTGTTAGAGATGATGCTCTGACAATGTTTCTGAATAGGGTCAGAAATGGTTTGAAGCGGGAAGCAAGATGAGTCCCACAACCAAAATAATTTGAGTTGGGTAGTTAGGCGACCAGGTTTGACTTTTTCGTTCGCTTAAAATCCTTCAAACGTGCTAGCCCGGTGAAGCTAATTGGCAGGGTACGCCGGCAAGCCTCGAGCAGGCGCGGCCAAGGCAAAGGTGCCTAGCATCAATTCCTACAATAAGGTCTGCAAAGACCCAGAATTAGTGAAGTTATCATTACGAGCTACCATGTATGTAAATAGATATTTAATCGCTAGAAAACTGTACCATCAGCAAATTAATGGTTGACGGTGTACTATCTCTGAATGAAAAAGGATAAATAGAAACGGCTACGAGAATCTGTGTGACACGGCTCGCCAGCCAATCTCCTTACGAGAAACCATGGTCACATCTTGGTCATCCTTTTTGTGCGTGGTTTTGCCGAGGAGGATGAAAGCCATCTACGACAGCAAACAATACTTGCCCGAATTATGATTACATGTATAGCCCAATCCCACATATTTCTAAGTCCAATCCAACTTCTGCGAAATGTCACCCGTTGCACCGGAAGATCCACATTGATCTCTCATTTAAGACTTCTCTCAGGCCATGTGGGTCTCGTTCTATGCGTCGGTTGCTCGAATGCCAAATCCCGCTGTTAAGGCGCAATGTGGTTAGATAATAGTTATACTAATACGAGATGATTAACTACTGCTAAGAAAGAGGATTCGAGAAAACGGGGATCCTCAATCAGTTGGGACGTCGTGCTAAAGTGATGGCAGAGCTTTGGCCTTCTGGATTTTTGTGTCACAGCCAATGTTGTGGAAGAGTCAAACCGCCACGAAGTTCTAATCCGATAAAGCATGTTCGCTACCCTCAACGCTCTCAAAGAGGTCCGTCCAAATGGTCAAGAGAGAAGCATGTGAACGTTCATTAGCTGATTATTTTAGCCCACGGATTCACAATGAGGATAGTGCAGATTGGCGACTGATAACGTGGCCAGCTCTTCTGCGCAGGGTAGGATCCCTTGGCTGTCTAACACTAATATTGCAGGGGGTCTAGTTGAAGGACAAGGGGCAACGCTCTTCCTAAACAAAGCTACGGTCTTCTTTCCCAGTCTCTGCCCCCTGAGGCCTCTGTGAAGGGGCAGGATCGTTTCATATCGCATTATTTCCTAGGCGGAGAATTGCTGCACTCCACCCGAGTGTCTCTCTTACCCATTAATATAATAAACTCTGAGCTTTGCAACAGAACAAACTTTCCCCATGGAATTAGTATGCTACAAGATCAAGTCTGATCTCACCCTCCGCTTACCCTGTGGTCGTCACCGTATCCAACCACCCGTCGCTTACGATACGATCTAGAACGAGAGAAGTCAAGAGTAGAAATCGCTAGAACTGAAAGCCCAACTTCTTACATTGAGCTTAATTATCTTGTGATTCTAGGGTGGGAAAACAAATATCTCGGTGTATACCTCTTTATAACATATTCGACACTAGATGGATCTCGCAAGGACATATGTAAACGCACAAATAACCTATATATTGCGGGGCATAAGTTTGATATCAGACGACCCTAAAGTGGAGATTTTATAAATCAGCAGTATTATGGTAAAGTGTGGGCCATAACAAGTGAATCCAGTGGCACTGTATCCTTATAAACAGCAATTCATTGCTACCTCCGAGTTGATACACAAAGATCTCAATTTCTTTATACCCCAAAATTATCATACGAGTTGGTACAAAATGACAGCCACCAGGTCGTCTATAGAATTGAGCTGGCCAACATCGATCTTTTTGTCTGACAAAGACATGAAAATCTCATCTAAAGTTTGAAATTTTTACTCAAACAGCTAAAAATGGTATAAAGGCGAAAACTAACTTCAAAATTTCTTATCATAGATAGCGTTAAAGACGTTTTCATAACTGCAGTAAATTATTTGCTTATAACAGGCGGAGAGGAATCGCCAACATTGTTACACTTTTCTCGTGGCTTGTGACTGATAGTATAAGTTACAACTGGCCGTTTTGACGATTAGATCCGAATTTAAAGTGTGATAATTAAGATTAACAGAGCCACAAAAAGCTTTAAATTCGGTGGTATTGACGTGATAGTTGATGAATCATTAGAAACTGTAATTAATCTTAGTTAATGGCTACTTCAGAAGAGCATCAACGACAGTGGAATGGTCAATAAAAGTAGCGGCCCAATATTCGATGAATAATTTCAGTACTATCAAATCTCACCGAATCCTAGGCTTCAATATAAAACTACCTAGATTTAGTTACAAAGCCATGGGTCAAAATCACGAGGTATGAAAATGGTAGAGAGGCAGCCTTGGGAATGTGAGACAGATTATCTATGGAAGGATAAACAGGAGTAAGTACGGCGAGCCCTATATACATGGGGTGCAGGTGTTTGCTGAGCAATGCTAAGACTAGATTGGCATTCATGTCACGTGTAGGTGTTTCATGTTCAAGCGCCTACACTGCTTTGCTCATTGCATGTATGGAGCCGTGAGGGCGTAGTTGTGCAGATATGGAAATCTAGGGAATATTTATCCTGAAAATCGCACAGTAATGTGTAAGCTGAAATAACGAAGATTTTTCGTTGGCTATCATACAGTGTAGAATTTTGTGGTAGCTGGTTCCGAAACATTGGAGCTCATAGCTAGATAATTTGGTTCACTTGATCAACAACTCAAGCACAAATTAACTTTCTAAGTTCAGTTGCGCTGATATATTTTTAAAAAATGAAATTAAACTCCACGTGGCTAGGGCTCGTATTACCCGTGTCAAGGCGTGTTTCACTTTTGACCAGTACGCTATGTTACGAAACGCGCGGGAGGATCCTTAGTCGATTTATAGCCTCACTTATCAGGCTACACAATTCGCGAAGACATAGGACCAGACCTTGTGGCAACTAGCTAATGGATTCGCAAACATTGGATTAGTCGTTATCATGACGGTTCCGCTGCTCCCTGTCATAATTCTTGCGGTTTTAAGTCTTAGACCAGAATTTGCGATCGCAGACCAAGCCAAATACCTATCCAGCTCGTCGACACAGCAAAAAAATGATAGTCTACTATGGGGTCCATATAGACCAAACTTATATTTTGGAATCAAACCTCGTATTCCTCAAAGCTTTCTCGGGGGCTTAATGTGGACACGTGTGGACGATTTTACTTCACTCCAACAAAGTCAGTATATGAATCACTCAGATGTCTATTGTTCCACACTAACAGTATCTAGACTTTCGGCACACCTGCGAGCAATCTGATAAACTACATGGCTACGGCTGGGACGAATTTGATGTCCGGAATGGCGGCATTCAGAATATCTATGATGAAGGTAATGGTATTGATATCACTACCTCATTCATAAAAATTCCTGGTGGTGCTCATGGGGGTAACTGGGCTGCGCGAATTCGTGGAAAAGTTAGAAAGGGATTTCCACAAAATCTTAGAACGACAACTATCTTTTATGCCTCACTAGAGGGTATCGGAAGTTTAGAGGTTCAAAATAAAGGTGATCCTAGTGGCGTAACGGGTGACGTTACTTTAACTGGAGATTCTCAAAGGATTGGCAGCTACAATTTAGTAATCTCTACAGGGAGTGGAAAACATCCCAAGTTTAACCATGCTGCATCCAAGTTAAAACCTTTAGATCGAACCTTCATAAACTCCATACGCACTCCTGGGGACTTGGTTTGGCAGACTAAAGAAATATTATTTCAGAAGCTCCAAGAGCAAGTTGAGACATATTTAAAAGATTATGGCCAAGAAAACCCGCCCCCTCCATCACAAATGTACACAGTCCCTCACCAGCCTGGCGATGGAAATTTGCATTTAGTACAGAAAGTATTTGAAGGAGACTTTGAGTTTGATGTTATCTTCCAAAGTGGTTCCTCAGGGAAAAAAATCATACGCAGCGAGATTTCAGAACTGATTGAAGAGACTTCAAAAGATTACTGGCAAAAATTTTCAGCAAATTTTGACCTTCAGCCGCCCTTCGAAACAAAAGATTTAAAGAGTTTCGGTAGTAGTATGTTTTCCAACCTAGTCGGTGGACTAGGATATTTCTATGGAGATTCAGTAGTTGATAGGTCATATGCCTCTGAGTATGACGAGGAAAACGAGGGGTTCTGGGAGGACACTGCTGCGGCTAGGGCTCGAAAGCAAGAAAAGCTAGAGGGTCCTGCTGAACTCTTTACAACAGTTCCATCACGTTCTTTCTTTCCTCGTGGATTTCTTTGGGATGAGGGTTTCCACCTACTTCTAGTTATTGACTGGGATATAGATCTCGCCCTAGAAGTTGTAAAGAGCTGGTTCAACCTCATGGATGATGATGGTTGGATTGGCCGCGAGCAAATACTCGGAGCTGAAGCACGGAGTAAAGTTCCAACCGAGTTTCAAGTACAATATCCTCATTACGCTAACCCGCCTACGCTATTTCTGATCATTGATGCACTGGTTGCCAAGGTGAAAGCTTCACGAAAAGCACCCTCATCGGGCGAGGCAAGGCAGTCTGAACCTTCCGACGAAGTTGGTAAACTTGACTACATTATTGAAGACCTCCGCGAGCTCTATCCTAAACTTGAGAAACATTACCGTTGGTACCGAAAAACCCAAGCAGGAGACCTCAAATCCTACGATCGCACTGCGTTCTCTTCAATCGAAGCTTACCGCTGGAGGGGACGTAGTCAAAAACATATTCTTACCAGTGGTCTAGACGATTATCCACGTCCACAGCCCCCACATCCGGGTGAGCTACATGTCGATTTGATATCTTGGATGGGCTTGATGACTAAATCTCTCAGAAATGTTGCCGAAATTCTCGACCAATACGAAGATGCAATTGAATTAGCAGATATTAGCAATGCTATTGTTCTCAATATTGACGACTTGCATTGGTCAGAATCCCAAAAATGTTATTGCGATGCTACAATTGATGACTATGAAGAGAATGTACTAGTCTGCCACAAGGGCTACATATCTATTTTCCCATTCTTAACCGGACTATTAGATGCACGTAGCGAAAAATTAGGTCATATATTAAACTTAATCGAAAATAAAGATGAATTATGGAGTGACTTTGGAATTCGAAGCCTTAGTAAGAAATCCGAGTTCTATGGGACAGACGAAAACTATTGGCGTGGGCCTATATGGATGAACATTAACTATCTTATAGTCTCTCAACTACTAGTAAGTAAATTGCACCATATGAACATTAATTTTAACTCTATCATAGGAAATTGCTCAAACTCCAGGGCCGTACCAGGAAAAATGCCATAAACTTTACGGTCAGTTACGATCAAATCTGGTTCTAACGGTATTTAACTCCTGGTCTGAGACTGGATTTGCTTGGGAGCAATATAACCCCGAGAATGGAAAGGGCCAACGAACGCAACACTTCACTGGTTGGACTAGTCTAGTGGTCAAAATCATGACCCTACCACACATAAATAGTCTAAATCAGCCAGCCGATATATCTTCAGAAAGTGCCGCATTGGAAAGCAGTCATAATGAGCTGTAGATATGCATATTATAGCTGCAGAAAGTAGTGTTAGATCTGAAAATGAGACTATTTATCGAGACGTCCATTGTTGATGGCGTCATGTCAATGGCCATATTTGAAGAGATTGATTTGGTTAGGAGCGTATGCATTTTTATTTGTGTAGGGACAAACACATACATATTTGCTGTCATTCATGGATACGATTGGATCTAAACTTCTAATGGACACTCCTACTGTTAGGGGATGGAGTGAATTCAGGGATTACAAGATAATATGCTATGACGCGTCTGGTACGCGATTCACTATGTATATATATTTACAGGATCAATCACTCTGTGCCCTCAGGAATGGGGCTTTTGTTGTAACTAGCGCCCGCTAGACATAAAAATAGATAAATATATCTATATATATTTACAGGAGTGGTTTGTGTAAGGCAATGGTGCTAATAGATAATACTATCAGGAAGAAATATTTGAAAAGCATTTTGAATATTTATATCGCTTCCGATCAGTAATTATGAAAAAAACGTCATATCGTACATCTCATCAGGAGCGAAGTAACTGGTTACATTCTAGGTCGGACGGAACCGGAGCCTTTTTCAATCTCATACAAAAATCTATAATTACACAAGACCAAATCTGTACTCATCCCATGCAGTAACTAGTCTAGAGGGCTGGATGATGCAACATTATCCCGTATAGGATGATCTCTCAAGATGGCTGTGAAGCTTCTAGTTGATATTCGGTGATTAAGAAGGACCCCGACTATCAATAAGTCTAAGGTACTCTCCGATACCCTAGACGGCACAAAGAACTTGGGTGAAGCTACTTAACAGCAAACATATTTTGTCAAGAGTATCAAGGCTGAACACCTGTCAGTGGTATCCTATGTAGATCATGTAGTAAATCAATCCCTCCGAACCGATATCAAGGCACAGCTAAGGGTGGATTTTAGAGATTTAGTCATGATGTTGGTTGGGAGGAGTGGTGTTGGCAAATTTTTAGTCAATAATCGACCTGCAGGGGTTTCACGTTTGTACAATCCAACAAATTTAGATATCTACACCCAAAATACGATTTGAAAACAGTACAAAATTTGTCTTATGTTAGCTTTAAAATAACTGACAATTTTCAACATCTAGAGTTTTCTTGTAAGGCCTTCCCCAGCTAGACCCAGCTTGCGACCCTAAACAAATTCATTTTACCACATATCGGAGCATTTCAAAATCTAGAGGTTGAAATCAAAGTCTAAGATACTAGAAGACATACATCTCTCCGCAAGTGCTACACGCTGTGAAAGTACTGTATAAAAAATGGCCTTAAATTCGACTAAATTTCGGCCGAGAGCAGTAATAACTAGACTTACGAGAATATATCAATGATCTTTCAAGTAAGAAAAGAGGATAGGAGTACTGAACAAGGTGTGGCCTGGTTCAGAGAGGAGCCCAATGTGCTAGATAGTCATAGACTCAAGTAGTGCAATGAAAACACACACACTAGACTTGCCATGGATCGCCATCGACGAAATACGTATAATATTTCACCGACATGTCAGCTAGAAGATTTGACAAAAGACGAGGTATAGATGATTCAGTCTTGAGCTCTTCGACATATATCTTGGCTCCACTGTTAGGGGTGCGACAACGGCGGGGCAAGGCCGGAAGACAGAAAGTTCACAAAAATTCTAAGACGGCGACATTGGTAGAGGGATTGAGCACAGCTATGATAGTGCAATAAAATGGAAGAAAACTGAGGAGGCTTTACTGGTCGACTGGATGAGGTCTCCAGTAAAGAAAACGAGCCCTGGATGGGATGAGGATATGCCGGGACGAGGCATGGGTGCACTGAACGGAGAGGATAAATTAGAGAATAGGCAGGTGTCAAGAGCTTGGATGCGTAGTCATCGAGTCTAAGCTAGAATTGCGTTTCCGCGCGCCAAAGTCGGGCTCTCTGGACGGTTGGACTTGATATATTCAACACATCGGTAAAGTCTGAGGTGATCCGGTCATTGAGATGTGACAAGGTCTACTTCCTTGATAGTAGTCAATCTGATCCAGCACGGCGCCACTCGTGCTCAAGCTCACACAGGAGTGCGGAGAGTGCTAATTGTCTAGAGCGTTAGTATACATAAACAACAATCAAACCCCCTCAATATTTTTCGAACATTTCAACATGGTCCTCGGGAAAGAGTAGAAATGAGACTGAAAAGCCGGTGTCTGACTACCTCGGCATCTACGATTTTGCAGCGCTAATTTAGATGGCCTATTGCAACACTTTAGAAAGATAGCTGTGTCTTCTGATTTACTCCTGATATCGGTACCAAGAGAGCCCCGCACGCAGCGCCTCATTCAATTTTCCTCAGCTTCTAAACAAACGAATATCGTCTTTCTCTCTATCAAGCAGAATTCTATTTAGATGGAGTTCTCTCTAAGAAGATTGAGTTCAAGGATCCCCCTCTCCATATGAAGTCTAATCTAGATATTACATAGCTCTTGAGAGTATTTTCATGGTTACCATCAATTCCAAGTAAAGACTGACTATTAAGATTGTCTGTGCGACATTCTGAAATCTCCGTCCCTTACATGGCTCTAAAATTGGCTGTGTTCGTTCCATGAATGAAAAACCTCAGGTGCAAGACATTATTGTTGATAATAGGAGTGCTATATAATAAGTTACTGAATAACTCAAAATTAACGAGAATAGAATATAATAAACAGGGGAGTTAATCGTATGAAATGGACCATATATTTAGTGGCTAGTTGCGGCATTTTCATAACTAGATTATGGCTCGTGATGCATCAGCCATATTTAGTCGCTTTCAAACTACTCAACTTTTTTTCTTGCATCAGATTTTAATTGCGTTTGCAGCTATCTAGCTATGACACAATATCAAAGAAAAGTACAGAATAGATGATTCAGCGTAAAGGAAGAGCACTCATGCCTCGGATTTCATTTGCAAGTACCACTGCGAAGTTATGGCGGCTTTTCCTTCACCCCAAGTCAACCCTCATCCGTGAATACCCACCCAGGGGAACGTCTCAAAAACCCTGAGTTACCCAGACATGCCTCCATCATCTTTCAACTTTTCTCCGCGCGAAATATGGTCTGAGATGTCTCCTTCCCAAGTGGAATAGGTGCATAGGCCACTCAGACGATACCAGAGAACACCACCAGGAGGCTGACCACGGCACCTTCCATCGTTGGCTTATGTTTATAGGGTAAGCTGCACTCTCGCAACCGAAGCCTTGACACGCACAAAGCTCCACTTGCTAGTCTCCTTGCCAAAATTCAGAATTCCACGCTCTTAGAGGTTATATCCATCCTCCGTGCCATCTAATCAACTTGTCCTGACCCCTCTAACGTCCATTCTAAAGAATTATCTCCCAGATTTGTGCACTACGCCTTGCTTCCTAGATCGGGTGTAAATATCGGCGCGAGCGTGTATTTGGTGACCAGCTGTGGCCAGAAAAAGTCGACGAGAGGTGTGATCATTGGGATGAGGACGTACTAGGTCGTACTTGTAGACTTGATGAAGCTTAGGTAGGAATCAATTTCGTTGGGAGTGAAAGATTGAGATGGCGAAGCAATTTGAACTATTCACTCTTGGGCCAACTTGTTCGGGGTTGCGAAATTCGAATAAACCTGGCTCTGGGAGAATATTTCACACCCAGCTTCGTAGCGGACACCGCGTACAGGTGTTCAGTCTTGCCCTCCAACTATCCAACTTCAACAATATGATACTCTATTCAAATTCCGGGTAAGGTGTCCTCTAGCTTCATTGGGTGTAAGGAAGAAGTTTTGAAATGCCAAAAATACTTTTAGGATGTATGTTAAAGCAAGACCCCCCTGATGAGAGCTGCACAAGAGAGATAGGGGTATATGCTACTCGCATAGATATCCTTGGCCTATTGGCAGAGAGGAACTACGTATCTTCTACAGCCTTAGACTACGATAGATCAATGATGGGTAAATAATCAAGAACCGAACCTGTTTCTTTACCGACCAGCGCATATTTTACACGCTAGGATTAGTAATGGACAGGGGAGAATGTTGATCTAAATATAATACCTGATCGACGGAAGTCATGAGTCATCTCACCCCCACCGTACATTGGAACCCCAACACTCATCAGTGATATTTCCTACACGCCTCCGGCTCTAGCTGTAGAGTCTGTAGAGCAGAGTTTAAGTAACACCTTCCTCCTCACTCCATCAAGGATCCCCAAACTACTTAACGGCCTGTTTCCTCTTCATCTAGCAGCACAACCCGTTGTGATCCAATGTTGTTCAAGCTGTGATCGTCGTAGTGTGCAGCTATCCAATCTCGCCCGATGTAGCACGGAAGCGTAGTAAAAGTGGGGCCAACCCATTAACCAAATCAAGCGCTACAGAGAGAGAGGTTCCAGGCAAGAACTGGTATTGGAAATGTAAAAGCATATTTACACCAAATTGGAAAGACAAAGGATGATATCTGCAATTTCTGTGCAGGAGGAAGTCAGACAATGCAACATCTGATTCATCAGTGTAGCAAATTTACAAAGAAAAGGAATGCATCATTTCAATCTTTAGTACCACTCAAACTGCCCACATTGTTTCGAACAGAAAGGGGGAAGGAGGCATTACTAGAATTTTTAAAATCTTCAAGGTGTATCAGTGTACACAAGGGAGAATGAATAGAACAAAAAACATTGGGCAGATACATGGAACAACAAAGATGGGAAAGATTATTTAGGGGAGTTTGATAACTTAGTGTTAATGTTAGATAAATTTTCATAGCTAAATAGCTAAATACAAAATGAATAAAAAAAAATAAAAGAGAGAGAGGTGTGTTTATTGTGCTACTTGAGTCTGTGACTATCTAGCACATTGGGCTCCTCTCTGACCCAGGCCACACCTTGTACAGTGCTCCTTGCCTCTCATGTTTCTTGAAAGATCATTGATATACTCCCCTTGATGAATAGCCATTCAGCTCAGTATTTACCCGTGGAATTCAGCCACCTTTTCCACGGAACCTTCTACCCAAAAAAATAAAAATGGTAGCAATGGAAACTGCGTGCGCGGGAAAAAGTCTCAAAAAACCTGCAGCCCCAGCCATGCGAGGCCTAGACACCGGGACCACATGAGATGCGCATATTCATCTACATCTCCCTGCTTTGTAACATTCGAGGCCGACTTGATCCAATCCGCCATCTCCGTATCGAGTGCTGGGTACGCTCCAGAAACTCATCGGATGGCTTTTGCTCCACGACAATGATGATAGGGGTTTGTGTTGAGAGATGAAGACGATACAGATGGCGAAAGCGATTGTGACTCCTCGTTGAAGTGAGGACTTTTTACTGGATCTTGGCTCTGCAGAATCTATAGCGAGAGCTGGAGGCTCGTAGAGGATACTATTGATAGGTATTGAGAATAGTCCCCCGATGCAATATTTTAGTTACAATCCTCTGAAGAAAGAATTTCTGTAGCTAATGACTAGCTGTATGTACAGTCTGGAGTATCCCCCTTCGAGAAGATCTTCTCTGTAACTTGACAACTCAGACTCTTTAATCATAATCTAGAAGATTTTTCATATTTCAGTAACCCTCTTGAACTTTCAGTTTGTCTCAGCAAGGTTCAATATGAATCTTCCAAGTTCCCTGTCATCCAATATCCTCCCAGGAAGCTCCCTTCGTATAACTGCCTGCGCTAGATAGTGTAGGCTACCTGAACCCTTAGGCTTGACAGTCGTCTCACCCCAGGACTGAGATTTAGCTACGCCGACAATATCGGTAGCTTTGGGACTGGCCGGACGATTGCAGATTCCGCAGCCGTGGCACAGGACGAGGTCAATAATCTACTAGACTAGGCTCGAAATAATGCCGTTGCTTTTGATACAGACAAGTCCGAAGCCGTACAATTCCCCGGACGATACCGTGAAACATTGATTGGAATTTATGTCAACGGAACCCTCATAGAACCGTCGCAAAATATCCGCTGGCTTGGTGTGTACCTCGATCCTCGACTGAGCTTCAAACACCACGTCGCAACCTAGTGTGGCAAAGCGTTGGAATTTGCACGGCACATGCGTCGCTTCAATACAGCTTATCGAGGAGCCGCTCCTGGGGCGTTGGTTAAAGCGATCGACACATGTATCGTCCCAATTGCAACATACGAAGCTGACGTCTGGTGGCCTGGCCTCAGACGCCCAACAGTGCGAGGGATAGTCACACCGTCCACTGCTGGCCTATGTAGCATGATTGATGGGGCTGTCTTAATTGGTCTTAGATCAGCACTACCGGTAATGAGGTCAACCCCCAACGCCGTACTACACAGGGAAGGAGGAATACCAACCGGGAAAATCATTCTCGAAGGAAACAAACTTCGCCTATCTGCCAGAATGCAAACACTTGATGACCGCCATCCGCTCGGGATCCGTGCTGCAGTTTGCCCAAATCTCGGTACGCGGAAATACAAGAAGCACCATCGAAAATCTGCGCGTCCTGAAATTCAAATGTCACGGGCTTAGCGTGCTTATAGACAGCTACCAGAAGCAGAGGCTGCGGAACCTCTTACTTTACCATTTTACCAATGGCGGCCGGGTTCGAGAAAAGACCAAACAGAAGAGGGTAGACGTTATGTCACTAATGTGCCAAAGTCAGAAATCTATGCGTACTCGGACGGATCATCAGAAGGAAACGGACGCTCAGCTTGGGGGTTCGTCCTAAAGCTGGATGGGAAAACTTTTCAAAAAGGAAGTGGCTTAAAGCACGGTGGAGGGGCTTTAGACGTAGAGATCACGGGGGCACAGGAAGCTTTTACGGCCTCACTGGATTACATGAGACAGGAGGAAGAGCTAACGAAGGGAGTGACACAATGCATTAATGTGTTGATGGATAGTTGAAAAGCGATAGATGCACTGAGCACGGGCAGGTCCTCGACTAGCCACGAGGAAGTACGAAAATTTCGCGAACTACCTGGGCTAGCTCAGGTAAGAATAAAGTGGGTACCAGGATACTCGGGACTACATGGAAATGAGGAAGCAGACGCAGCGGCTAACTCCGCCATACGAACGCTTCCCAGCGCGGAAACTGAGCCAGCAACCACCACGACAGCATTTTTACATCAAAAATTGCAACGACAGCGACAGACTTTGCTCAACAGCTTGTGGAATGAAATTTGCCCGCCACGGTATCGTGAGCTAGATCTGCTCAAGCACCGTCGCAAACCACCAGAACTGGGGCTTTCCAGACTACTATTACGAAATCTCATTGCAGCCCGTACAGGCCACGGCAATTTCGCGGCGTACCATCGTCGCTTCAATAATCCAAACGCTATAATAGAGTGCATCTGTTGTGAATATCGTGAGCATGACTTGTAAATGTCTATTTACAACAGATACAAGGTCTATGACAGATATCTTGGCAGGGGCGGCAAACCACCACGCATGACGAGTTTGAGGCAGAGTCATATATGCTTAGGTGAAGCATCCGGGTCGGGAAGTCGCAGCCAAGGAGTATCATATATACTTAGTATTGTGTCATAGTTGTGAACCTAGGGTCTAGTGATACGTAGGCAACGGGGATAGAATTAACAATAAGCAAGCAATCAATCGAATATTATCAGGACCATTATTCATATCATTCTAGTATCATCAATTACATGATAATATTCCAATAGCATCTGTGGGGAGGAAACCACCCCTACCCACTTCATACACTGTCGACTCAACGCAGACATCACGCGTCGAATCAGCGGGTCATTGTCACACAGTGCCCTTCTACATAAGCTACTCGGACTAAAGTGCTATGAGAACTTCAAAAAATTTGCGCACGATACCAATTGTTTTGGATATTCTCTTGTGCACCCATCTCCCACTCTCAGTGGAGATCGAATATGACTTGTCATGAAACCAAACCTGACTAAACGGGAATCGAGGCAAGGTGTATTGCTTCCAGTCCTAATTTCTTTGCAATTTATATTTTTCTATTGTCAGTTTTGGGGGAAGGAGTTCGCAGCGGCGCATATCTTTAATTGACCGGTGGTTTTATTGAGGGTCATGCGGTGGAATCAAGCTGGGTATGTCTTAGATGTAGTCCTGACTGTGAACACCGGTCCTGTACTCATAGTGGACTTGGAGCTTTAGCTTAGGAAATTAATAAAACAACAACAAGCGGCTAGAGCCAAGATTAGTAACGCAAGAAAAATAGTCAATTGGCTACTTTGATTCTTGCTAAATTTCTATCAACTAGAAACCTTGGTAGCTGTCATTAAAATTTTTTATTTATTTCTATTCTGTTCTAGATTACTCGCTTCTGACAAATTCGATAATCAAATTCTATATTGTACTTAGTTGGTTGATTTGGGGAAAGCTTTTCTGGATTAATGAAGGAATTGAGTGTACTAGGAAAATGCGGGTTTCAACGAAAACTGTGATTAGTAACGCTTCTCTCCGCCACTGATGCATTTCACACGATGGAATATAGAAGAAGATCATCCTAGAAAGATAACGGCTGCCCACCCGACATAAGCCATCAAATTTTTGCTGTATGTCGCCATAGCTCTGCCTTGTAGAGATGTGTCATAATCCCCCGTCAAATTTCGTCTTCCTCATCATCGAAATCCTCTCTATCTTCTGTGCCCATTTGATAGAGTATACGACCACCATCACCAAGCTGTGCATCGTTTGTCTGCGCGTCAAAATAGGGGAGCACGACTGCTTCGCGGTCGCGTTTTTGCTTTTCCGTCAACGTAAGATTAAAAGTCGTCTGAGACAGCTCAATCGAGTTTGGGGAGCTGGATATCTCGCTATCAAGCACGGGTAAGGAGGCATACATGGGACAATCGTCAAGTACCATAAAATTTGGCACTGTGTTGGTCTTAGAGGGTGAAGTGAGGACGAATGTTTCGCTGATGGCCCTCCCAGAGCGTCTGCGATATTCCATGTTCACTACTAAGGCAATATCACCCTCTTTTTTCCGGGGACCTATTAGGACTCCTTCCTTTTGCTCCGCGAGCCCAAATATGGGTTCATGTAAACTACGATCCCTAGCTCGCTTACGAGCCAGAACTTGAGGGAACGACGAAACGGTAAGTATCGATGTTGCTAGATATGAGAGCATGTGCAGAGTATCTGGCATGTATGGCGATCCTGAGAGGGCGAGGGGAATATCGGCATGGTAGCTCGCTAGTAAAGAGATGGCCGGAGAGACGAGGAGAGAAGTTAAGAATGGTGCGAATAGTTCAACATGAGAAGATACCAGTGGCGCAAGACTGTCGATTATGACAAGGTATTCTAGCAAAATTAGAACGAGTTATGTTAGTGAGGCCTGTAGACTAGGAGCACATACTAGCAGGATCTGAACTACGGCCTGGAGCTGGAAGATGGGAGAGAATTTGCTCTTGCAGTGTAGAAAGAGACTTTCCATAAGCTGCGACGAATGCAGTAATTTCAAATTGAATCTTTTGACGCGGGGTGGTGTACGATACAAACACAATACTGGTCTTGAAAGTCTAGAATCACTTATCAGCTTGCGGTTTACTCACGTGACATCATCTTGATCGATTGGCAAAATGCGCAATGACGCCTTCGTTTTTAATGGGTGGCTCGCCAGAAGTGAGGAAAGAGCAGATGATACTGGCATATTAGAGGATACAAAAGATGAAGACCAATTATACCTTAGCTCGTCTCCCGAATTCTCTCACAAGGGGCCTACCACTTTGCTCCAGCGTGTCGAGCACCAGAGTAAAGGGACTTGCGCTATCACGCAGATTCAACAATTTTTGAAATATTAGAGTATTGTAAGTTCTTGATTGTTTTAAAGCTGATGATACCATAGTGCTTGCGGTCGTGGTTTTGCTCGTGCATCCGAAACATGGTTGAACGAGCGTGTGGAAAGGATTAGGAATTAGTGGACTTGTGTATCTAATCTGTAAAGGCGCTTAAGATGAACCACAATTTTCCGGCTCGTTTCTTCCAAGTAGCACTAATCACTATGTTTAGCATTTTTGGATCATCACCTCATGCTCTATCTACGATTTGCAAATTTCAGCATCTGTTTAGGATGACTGTGTATTCATCTTTCTATGCCGTTGTAGATTCTCCTAATTTCCAAAGTCACAGTCAAAACTATCTCAGCCGCACTAATAATACGACCATATCAATTGATTACAGCATCATTTCTTTAGGAGGGCTTATCGCTGGGAAAAGGCCACCCATCGATCATCCATGTTTTCTTATTCCTCTCCCATCGGGCAACTTGATCTACTTCATTCCTCCCCAACCTCAGAACCTTCTCTCCCAACACTACATCTTTCTCATAAGCATAGAGATGTGGGTAGTAATTGGTGTCATGGATTGTATCCCATCCACCTGTTTTATATGCGGCTTCTCCGTGTGAATCTTCCCACTTGATATGTTTTTCTACAAGCGTGTAAGGAATGCGTAGAATAAAAACAGAAGTCTCCGTCTGGAAGAAGGCATTTAGTGTGTTAATAATTTGGTGACTAGTGCAAAGATGGATGAAGCCATCCTGAGCATCTAACTTTGATAGTTCTAGACTTTGTGGCAGTGGAGATGGTGGAGATAACGTGGAGGGAATAATTTTGTAGAGATATGCGGGCGGTGGCGTAGGAGTCGACATTGCGAGCTTTAAAGTGAAGTCTGTTCTTGGTGTCCTGATGATTTGATTACTGCTTCCATTGCTTAGATCGACATGTGGTATAGCTTGGGCGCTTTTCGCTTAACTTCCTCTAGCAGAAGGCCTGAATACTATTCAGGCTTGCCTATTGATCGCATTACTTATTGACTTACTTGATCTAGGCCGTTCAGATATATCTAGCTTCAATTTTTACAAAGGAGGAAATCAATTCGGTAAAAACCCCCCAAAAGAGTCTGTCTCATGTCTATTGATTTTACTTGGGTTTCTTATACTAAGTGCGTTTACACTTTCTATACAGTGTCAATCCTGTCCTATATTTGTCCACATCGTCTCACCTTTTGATTCAATGCAATCTCTACTTCTACTGCGAGACGGAACTTTTCCAACCAGCCTTTTGCCAGGATCCACTTTGTGATTTTCTGGATATGATCTGGGCTAGTCATCATTGTTGAAGCACCTCTCTTCTCCCCCTTGCCCACTGAGGAAACGCCGTGACCATATGTTTGATATTTTGTGATGGATATCCACACTGGCATTTTGGATTAATCACTCCGGGGACTTCAATCGGTACAGATGAGAATTGAGACCGATGTGCTCACTTCTTATCTGAACTACAGTACTGCTTTGGGTCCTGCTAAGGATCCTTTGGATATTTGATGTTGTGTTACTAAAGAAAATCTTTTTTCTACCTGTTGTCTTGACTGTGAAGATGTTTGCGGCTTTCTAGTGGTTCAAAGTCTGTTGAAGCTCGATGACCTGAGTTTTTCATTCCTTTCACGTGTCCATGGGTATTTTCCACTCCTGGAACGCTGCCACCTTAGAGCATCTTTTTGTCTAACTTTCGCATTCTCTATGCCAGAATGGTATTTTTTATTTAATGTCCTATGGGATTCCAAGCCGAGCCTTGGGCTCTTGCTGCCTACTTAATTCTAGACATAAACGCTGATGCTTACTCCTATGGAAGCCTCACATGGTAAGGCAAAGATTGAACACCTGTCTGCAGCGTCCATTACGAAACTGAGAGTAAAATATTCTACCAAAGTCAGTTTCTGCCAAATTTAGCAATACCGAAGAAGTTGGCCCACAAGGCAATGATTAAACAATCCTAACCATATTAATCTCTTGCCCTGCTAGATCGATTCCTACCAAAGCCTAATAAAGTTTACAAACAATATGTTTGTGTTTGTTGTCTTGTAAAGTCTATGACTATGTAAGGACATGTAGGTTAAAGTTTACAAAGGCGACCTATCATATCCTTATTTTAATGACTGCACCTCTCATCGACTATTACCTAGCGGCAGCTAGTCACCAAATATACGTCCACGCTGAAATTCATACCCACCGCAGTAAATAAATTTAGGTGCATAAACATTAGAGGCAGATCTTTGGGGTGGGCGTGAGAATTATCAGAACAATTTTACAAGATGATGCAAAGGATGGATATAATTTTGACGGGTGTTGGGTTTCGAATTTTTGAAAATATTTTTATAAACTAAAGAGCATTGTGGAAGCCAAGCCTTCAATTTTGAGAGTGCAGCTGATACTGTAGAAAAAGATTATCTGGAAGTAAAAGCCTCGGATAAAGTTTCGCGCGGATCCTAGTCAATGGACGATGAAGCCATGTCTAGATAAGTCTGGGTTCTTGAGAAGTTTCCCGGGGGAAGTATTCACGAATGAGGGCTGACTTTGGGTAAAGAAAAAGCAACCATAACTTCGTTGTGGTACTTGCCGGCAAAGACGAATTATTCACCTTCCAGTGGTGCTGGTATAATCGCTCAGTATGCTCTGCATATCTGGGATAGCCAAGAAGAATCGCATTCGAAATGAAGTCGAAAGTAACTTTAAGTATATCAAAAATCGACGACTTCGTGACAAATGTTAAACCTATCTTTCTCACGAGAGTCCTCCACCTCAATCTTAATACACCACCTCGCCTCAAATACTGTTGAAAAATATACTCTGTACGATTCTACGTGGATATATATGATGAAATAAAGAAGACTTGATATTTTACAACTATGGGAACATTGGACTTAGGAGGGCAAGACTGAACACCTGTACGCGGTGTCCTCTACGAACCTGGGAGTGAAATATTCTCCCAGAGCCAAGTTCAGTCAAATTTCTCAAATTTCGCAATATCAAAGAAGTTGGCCCACGAGGCAAAAATTCAAATTACTCCACCATGTCAATCTTTCACTCCCAAAGAGTCCGATTCTCAACTAAGCTTCATCAAGTCTACAAGTACGACCTAGTACATCCTCATTCCAATGACCATGCATCTTTTCGACTTTCTATAGCCTTAGCTGGTCGCCAGATACACGCCCACGCCGATATTTACATCCGAAGGAGGACACAAAGCGTGGCGCACAAATCTGGGAGATAGCTCTTTGGGATTGGCGTAAGAGGATTAAGGAAAAGATAACAAGATGATGCGACGGATGGATACAGTCTCAATGGGCGTAGAATTTCGAATTTGACAAGGAATTTTTACAGATTGAGCTTTGTGCATGCCAAGGCTACAGTTACGAGAGTGCAGGCCACACTATAATCACCACCATGGTTGGATGGTGCGGTGGTACATCGTCTTGGCCGGTCTGCCAAGTAGAGTGTGGATTGCTTGGACGTATATCCCACTTGAGACAGTAGATCGCTGGTTCAAATCCAGCAAAGCACAACCACTTTTCTCGCGGCGCTGGTATGCATGGATGACGAAGGCATGCTTGGATAACCAAAGGTTTTGAAATTCCCTTTGGTGGGTAATTACGGAGGAGGATCGACTATTTGTGTAAGCAAGCATACCTTATAGTGGTATTTGCGAATGAAATACAAAGTATGAGTGTCTCTAATGTCAAAATAGTCATCCAACATGTATACATAGCACAGGTCATGTGTCATAGCTTTATAGCTGAATACATATTAAATGATTTAAAAAAAAAAAAACATTGGACTTATATATACATCTAAAGGAGAACTTCCCACTAGTCTCATGTGCCTGCCAAGCCTAGTGATGACCAGCCACCTCTCATCTACCATGATGAGCCAAGGTACACTGTAGTACGTAAATATCCAAACGTATATGCGACAGTAAGCGCGATTGGCGCACTCGTGACATGTGTAGAGACAGTCGATCTCGTCGGGAACCTGAGACAAAACAGATAGTGGTTGAGTCCTAAATTCGAGAGTCAGAATTTCCAACAAATACCGATAATGGCGTCACTCCAATTGCAATAGGGCATTTACATCATCAAAAACCAGCCATCTCCCAATACAAAATTACGATGCTATGTAAACCTGCGAGGAGGAAATCAAGTCATAATCTATAAAGCTTGGGTCTCGGTATACGGGGGACAACTGCTCTTATGGGACTTTAAATCTTGAGGGAGGACAGACAGTTAGGATGTGGAACGAACGAGTGAAAAGGTCACAAATGGGCATGCTAGGACGCACATATTTTGAGTGTATTTGGCTCAGGGGTGTCTGTGGGCGCAGAGGCAGCAATTCCGGAGAGTGCAACCGACACTCTAAAAACAGGAAACGATGAAAGGTGTTGTGGTCTGCCTCCTGGTCGTCATCTTCCCGAATTAAAGCCTGGCTAGCCTTGACACCTACCTCACTCGAGAAGGGGAGGATAGTGAGGTCATATCTCGCGCGATAGCTAAATACAAGATGGCAAAGAAATTTCAATGCAGCCAAGGGTTTTTCCTGTTTTTCCTTTAGTGGATATAAACGGTTGAGGGAAGGGTGAAAGTCCCTGGCACCAAGGTCTCGAGTGGTCTCAGGAAATGCACCCTCTACGTGAGTGGTCCAAATGTCAAATTGAGTTATCGTCGTATATAGTCGTCTGAGAAGCTTGTCTTCACCGTGTCATGCTCTTTGAGTGCAGGACTTTTGCCCGTCACGAATAAACTTTCATCTATTTATCACCACCAACATACGATTCACGCATGGGCCTAGGTCTGTCTGGGGGTCGTATTCAAACATCCGACATCTCTCAAGCTCCTTATGTATTTGCGACGAAGCATTTCTCAGTCGATCCTACACCTGCGACCCATCATATACTTGTCACATCACCTACCTACACACGCCCTAATGAGGAAAGTCATGATGGATAGGGGACGTGTACAAAGGAGGAAGAAAATGCAAGATACACTAAGAGTATTACACAAACCCCCAATGACGACAATAACCCGACGGTACGATGTGAAGGTGCAAGGCTAGAGCAACGATGAAATCTTGGTCGGCATTCATATTTCGGAGTCCATGAGGATGTCAAGGGCTCGGGTGCGTGGTGCGTGGTGGCCGAGGCTGAGGAGGAATTTGCGCTTCGGCGCGCCAAAAAGGGGTTCTCTGGACGGCTGGGCTTGACATGATTCGACAAATAGGTGAAGTCTTAGGTGGTCCAGTCATTTAGGTGGGACGAGGCACTTGTACTTAACGGTAGTAAACCTAATCCAACCCGGCCCCACCCGTGCTTAAGCTCTAGTAGGAGTGCGACGGGAATCACTATATCTAGCACGTTAATGAACAAAAGAAAAATATCCCCCTAGCACTAGAGTTTCAAGCCTCGCATACACTTAATGAGCCAGACCTAAGGGGTTGGTCTGGTGGTTGCCGGGTGGACCGTGGATCGCCATACTGTACTTAGATTCTCTGTCTCCATAGAATGAAACGAATGCCCCCTTCCCACTTTTATTCAAGACAATTTACTGGTGACCTGCACAGGGGATTTTCCTCGGGTCGTTGTCATTGTCTACTTTGATCTTAACTATCTACCTACTTTATATCATCGGTATCGAGACGTCAGGTGGTGACTATTAGTAATCGTGTCGTGTGGATACGGTCTATTTATCGAAGCAGATCATCTCACGCGTTGAATGGGAGTCAACTGTTATTGGGAGCTATCTCGAGTCCACAGGCTGAAAATTCATCCTGAAATTTAGTTGGCAGCTCGGTGGTCTATATACATATTACGACCTAGTTTT